TAGGAAACATTGTTCACATCTGTGTTTGATTTTGGTGTTTAACATAAGGATTTAATTGTTCTACGGATGATTCCGTGATGACGTGATGTAAGGGATGAACCTTTTTTTGTATCCAGGAGACTAAAAGGATTCCGAGACGTTTCGTGATCCGTTAAGCTGAAATGTGTACGAATAAGTGAGACGTCAAATTGATGTAGAACACTTCTGAATATGGATTTGAATGGAAAGTCTACGGTTTCGTATGTATCTTCTTCCAACCGCAACTGTATATCATCCAGTTCATCCTTTCTTCCATATCATTTCATATCGCTTCTTTCATACTTTGATCGTCGGGTGAAGAAATTGAACAAAAACCGTGTAAAATGAGCGAAAAACATAGCTAATTGGAATCGAAAGCGATCTTTGTTAACATTGTCGAACTCTTTCATATCACTGTAAACCGGCTTTCATTTTAATCTCGTTGTTAATAGTCAATATACCTTCTTTTATTGATAAACTAACAAGAGATGGTTGCTAAACATTTATTCGGCTAACGTTTCGACGTCTTCGTCTCCTCAGAGCCGATGATAAGAGTCCGTGCTCCACAGTCGTCCGTTTTCTTTATGTGGTGTCTTCGTCTTCGTCTTCGTATCGAGTCCGCTTCGGTAATGTACCGCTCGAATGAGGCAACACCCGGCAGCGCTCTTTTCTACAGGACGGTTGTTGTTGGTAATGATTGCCCTGTTGATAATAATTTGTTTTTCAACAGACCATCCATCCTGCAGCTGTCGGCATTAAACAAGCTCGCACGTAACGAATTAATACTGTTGAAAAGCGATTTTCATTTAACCTCGACGTGAGGATCAATGTACTTTATTTTATTGATGTAGGACACCTCAGAATACGAATTTGAATGGATGATTTTTAGTTTCGTACCTCTGTTCCTCAAACCTCAGCTGTATATCATTCAGTCATCCTTCCTTTTATGTCATTTCTTGTCGCTTCTTCTATATTCTGATTGTCTTCCGAAGAAATTGAACAAAAACCGTGTCAAATGAGGAGAAAACATAACGGGAAGGGAAAGCGATTTTTGTAAACATTTTCGACTTCTTTCATGTCGTACATAAACTGGTGTTCACGTTTTTCGTTCCTGTTCCTCTTTCTTGTGTTGCTGTCGTCGTAATTCTGAATGATGCAGTTCGACTCCTACGTCAGTCAACATGCTGTTGAATGCCGATGACTCCACCCACTTCACTACCGCCATTGCTATGCGAGGGGGCTGCTGTTGTGGTGTGTGTCTGTGTGTGAGTGTGTGTGAGTGGATGAATTACAAGTATTCCCTTGATGACAGTTGTTGAGAAGGTTTAGATTAATTAAGGATACGTCGCAGTAGATAGGTAAAGGACATGGGCTTGATGATTTTTTTACAAAGTGAGCCAAATTTCCTTCCTTTTTTTAGAACAGTTTTTTAAATAGCGCTTATCAAGAAGACGATTTTCCACTCTACTGCGCGTTTGGCAAAGTGTGTTCTTGTGCCTTTTTTTCAATACTTACCGCAGATTTGCCGACAAAGCACGAAAATTGGTTTTATTCCTTTCTCAATTTACTCGGTTTCCTTATCACTATCAGCATATCAGAGTTACTACTGACTTATACTCGGCTATGGTAATCGAAATGTTGATCTTACCATATCACCAAACGGCGAGAAATTTTCTGTTCCTAATATTTGTATGGAGCACCTGAATGCATTGATTTTCAACTTACCGTATTCCACTATCATTTCAGATACTGTTGTATAGTTTTACGATGCCGATCTTATTATACCATTGTTTTTTGATTGCATCCTACCTTTTCTCTTTCATTCTTTCAGAAAATGTTCATCATCCAGTCGAATCAGCCCAGCTACTCTGGTCACACATTTGCCTCCAGCTCTTGCTGTACTGAGTATAACGGAAAGGTAATAGAATCCCATTTCATCATTTTTTCGTTAATTTTATTCTTTATGCATTTCATTTCCTCGTTCAGAAATAGATTAGAAAAGGGTAAACTACTGTAACCAGCTGAAAGCATGAACCAGTAGAATAAAAACTAGCAACCAGCGTTAAGCGGTCCTTCCTATTTGTTGATTTTGACCCTATGAAACAGTGTTCTGAAGTTTCAGGTAACATCTTTGAAACTAAATATTTTGCTGTTTCGGTGCCTACTCTCATTGATTAGAACGAGCTCTCATACGAAAAAAAACCCATTACGAATTTTCTACTTTCAAGTCAACATTAATCTAAACAGTAATGAGTTTAAAAAATTGGCTGAGAAAAAACCTAAACAAATGCCTAGGTTGGTGTAATGGATAGCATGTGAGTCCCAGAAAAGGGTAATCGCTAGTTCGAAGCCGAATTTACGTTCTGAGTTTTGCTAATGTTTCAGCATCCTTGTGGTAGTAATAAGTTAGTTGAAAAATTTCGGAGCATGTAGCTGAAAACTCCATCTATGACACTCCTTAAGCGTATCCGAGGACGTTCCGCAAAGTGATCCTCTTTGCTTGCAGGTGGAATCAGGGCTAAATGAAAAAGCTTCTGGTGGCTTGTCGCGTTGTGGGCTTCGTCGTACTGGAAGCAATCTTTCTGAAGTTTCGGTAACAGATCTTTGCCAATCGGATACCACACAGGTTCGGGCGCCTTTCGTCATATAACTATGTTTTTTCTCCACTTGATGATCCATATCTTCCTCAATCTGTTTTCTCTACGAAATATACATAAAAATTAATATTAAGTTTTTAACTGAAGTTGTTATGCATATCAGAAAGACCCATACACTTGATAGGTAAAGTAGAGCTTGGCAACTGACCGCGGCTACCCTTTTTCCCAAAAACAAAGGAAAAGGGTACTCGTATGTAGTGTTTTTCTTCCCACTTGAAAAAAGCATAACGAGCCCACCAGGTAGTTCATCGAGATACTAATCTGATGCCCTGAAAGGTTATTCCTATTAGTAATGGGTGATATGATATAGACGATAGATAGTACGAGTATCACGTTACCCATCGTGAAAAGCCTCTAAAAGTGCTGCACTTGTGGTTGCTAAGTGCTCGTAAAAACGACCTTGTATATCCTAAGACTTGCTGGAGACGTTGGATTGAAAATTTCGAAAAAGCGTTTCCTTTCACAAAGCGTTGTGCAATAATAACAAAAGAAATACGTTCTCTACCAGTCGACGCTCGGAAATACTCTTTAAGAAACAACTATATTCACAAGTTTGTGATAGAAAATTCGCCAAACGTATGACTTTTGCACTCATTCATGTCACCACACTCATGAAGTTAAGGGCGTGTGTGGCGCAGTGGTCGGAAGCGCCTTGCAACACACACACATCGATCCCCGCGCTCCTGACCCACCAAGCTCTCCATCCCTCCAGGGTCGGGAAATTGGTACTAGACTTGTCTGGTAGGATAGCAGCCTTGGCTCGATACATTGATAGACCACCACGAGTCATTGTAAAGGGCAGATACGCATTCAATCACCTCCAAACGATGCCTAATGACGTCGAATGCATGGAGCATCCCTCTGGGATTGATCAACGCCGAGAGCTTTATCCTTTATTTATTTGGGCGCTTTATCCCTTCTTTATTTATCTATGGAACCACCTACAAGAAGAGCCTCAACTCTGACAATACTTGACCTGCCATCAGTTGAGAACTCTTGCAAATCTTTAACACTCAGAATCTTTCTCCTTTCATTCTAAGCCTTAAAAAAACTTTCATTAAGAGAAAAACAGACAGAACTCTATAGGTTTGTTCTTCTCTCATAATGAACCGTATAACCTTGGGTTGAAAAATAAGCTTTTTTCTGTGTTTTCAAATATCAGCGGTATAAAAACAATTTGGTGGAATTATTTTTAATGGCGTTAATATGAGATCGGTTTTATGTGGAAAGAATGTCGTCACCATGGCGTGGGTAGTATGAACCTCGTGACGTCATTAACATGAGTCCTGATGAATAATGTTGTCATAAAAAGTAATTAAGCAATATCACGGTTTGTGGGTTCATTGTGGGTTTGTGCTCCGCAGATCAATCCCGTTGACGGGTGATTGCTGATGGCACTGGTAGATAGAAAACTAGACGAGATGAATGCTGAACGAGGGACCTGCATGGTGTGGTGGTGAAGGCGTTAGTACTCAAAAAGGGTGATAGCGGGTTCGATCCCTACCGCAGACACCTGCGGTCCGCAGTTTTGCAAATGTCTCAGCATCATTGTGGTTATGATTTCTGTTCAATTTCATGGTATGGTAACTGATCTGGTTGGATAGGAAAATTGTTATAGGATTCGAAGATCTTTGCAGAAACAATCAATACCGTGCGTAGATCACTGAAATGAATCACTGTTATGTTAAACGCTTGTAAATCGTTCAAGAAATCGTTTGAAAATTTATCAAAACACTGTTGTCGAGAGATTTTTCATTAGCCTTAGCCACCTGAAAGCTTAAATTGCTCCTTTTTAAAGTAACTCCCACGACCGACTTTCTATTAACCTCGGCATTGATCAAGTAATTCTTCGTATTTTTGTTGAGCAAACGCGAGGTGTTATTATTCTATACGGAGAATTCCTTTTTAAAGTGTTATTGTAAGCATTGATAAAAAATCATATCGGTTAGCGTTAGAAGCATATCTGAAATGACTAGTGATAATCATAAAAGTTGAAAAAAGAATCTCCTTTCACCTTCACGGCTTTTCTTTCTCGATTCTACTCTGGAAGTTATAAAATGACGTTTACATTCCCCCTGGGAGGAGTTTGTAGAATGCAAATTCATCTACAACAAGTAAACTTGTGACCTGTTGATGTCGATAAGCTGCCACGTTAGTCACACAAGTCAAATCACGCCGTAGGATACGGTATCGAGTCTATGAATAAACAAATCGTTTACGATTCATAGCAGTTGAATTGATAGTGATTTTAATACCTATTCATTCATTTGTTCTGTTTTTTTTCATCGAAAAAATCTTTTCTATTCGTAGGTAGAGCTCGACTTCACGGTGAAATGTAACCAGCAGGTGTTCGTTCGTACTGTAACACCATGTGGTGAAGTCGGTACTCTACAGTTTGACAAATATGAAACAAAACAAGTGTTTCGTCCAAAACAACATGGATGTGGCAATGGAATCTGGACCATTCATGTCTTCCAAGTCGTTGACCACAGGTTTGAAATAAATAGAATAGTTTTTTATTGTAATCGTAAGGTTCAGTTATCTGTACGAAAATGGCAAAGTGAGCATTAATGCTTAAGCTATGCCCAGAATCACCAATTAGTAGTTTTTCTTTTTTCGTCGGTAAGAGTATCCCTAATCGAATCATCTTACTTAACAAAGGTTCTTAACGAAATTCGTCAATAGTGGTACTCTAACCACTGTGTGGGACTTTTTTTTTACCGTATACTATATTTGAATGTCGGATTTAAGAGGTGGTGTAGATTTTTTAACGATGCGAAGAAAAACAAATCTGTGACGTTACCCATTTCCCAGTTCGATGGAGTTCTGTGTGTGATAAATTGAATTCCCTTACATCTAAACAGGAATAAATCTTACTCTGGAGAGAATCCAGGTCTGTTTGTATATAAAATAGGCAACTTTTTTGCGTATTATGAAGCACTAGTGTTATTATCAGGACGTATTAACCGTTAAGACAGTGATAAATTCGACTCAAATTTAGAACTTAATGGACTCACTCTCACCCACTCAAACCTATTTTTAATCAGATTTTCACCAGCTTTTTTTGTGTCCGATGACTCAGATAAAATAAATAGTTTACTTAGCTCTTTCAGTTCATGAATTGGATAAATAAAAACTATTTGCTTATAAAACCGATGAAATACCTAATGTGCATATTTTCATGGAATCGCTCTGGCTGGAGCGAATGTTGTACGTGGGTGTGTGTGTGTTCCCATTCGGGAAGTACTGACTGACACTTGCAATCTGAAAACAACAACACGTCGATATGGGGCAGCGAAAAACTGACGCCCCATCGTCGGTGGCCCGGTTTCGGGGTTTTTGGTTACGTTCAATAATGTCGAAGTAAAATATAAGAAGCAGGATTGAATATGAGCTGGTTATTAAAGGATAGCGGATAAAGGATAAACCGTTAGGCGTTGACAAATCACTTAGAAACACATCATTTTACCGCATCAAGCATCATGGAGGTGATAAAATGAAGATTTTCACCGAAATGAATTACAAAAGCCTGTCGATGCATGGGTGTCAGGGTGTCAGGGTGTCATATACTCTCAGGTCCCGGAAGACTCCGACTTCGAGCGGGTGGGGTTTTGGCTTGCCCGATTTGCGATAACGAACCAACAACCAACTAATTAAGAGTCTTAATAAATGGTTACTAAGTCTTTATGAATGGTCTGTTTATTGGGTTTAATAGCCTGAAGATGAGTCACTCAAAGGCTTAGTAAACGCTTCTCATATGGTTGTTTTTATCCATTACTCTTAGTTATTACCACGGTGCGCGTATACTACATTGCTTAGAGGTGCCATGGATTACGTACTGAACGGTCGCTGAATTTGTTCCAGCGACCTAGACTCACCACTCCTTCCATCCTCCTGAACCGCCAAAATAATATACTGCCTGTCTCGGAGGATAAAACACCGACTTGAATAGATCGGTACAAGTCATTGTATAGGCGTGGTATTAATCCAACGGCTCTATAATGCATGGTGCATCGTTCAGCGACGCGTGATCTTTTTGGTCCATAAGTAGCCCTAAATTCCATGTTTATAGTTCCAGATTGTGAATTGCACATAATCTGACATAGCTGAATATTATAATCGAACAGAATGCTAGCAAGTTGCTGAAAGCTTGGTACCTCTTCCTTAACCTTGAAGAATCTTCCAGGAGGTCTAAAAATAGCGACCGTAATGAAATTTGATGAGATGACCAATAAAATTTAAGATTATCTATGATACCTATCATATTCAGGATGAAAGTTTACTATTCAAACTAAGAAAAATTAGAGACGTGCGAAACAAAGGACCCGCATGGTGTGGTGGTGAACGCGTTACTCCCTGGAAAGGACAATAGCGCGTTCGTTCCCCACCATAGAAACCTGCGGTCCAGAGTTTTGCAAATATCTCAGCAACGTTGTGGTTAAGAAAAATTACTTACATAGTGCTTTTTTTTCAGCGAAACCCTGCTGTCAAGTGTTTCGATGCCATTTAATGGTGTTGGCACGTTGTACTTCACGATTGGTGATGATCTTCATCCGACTTTAGTCGGGAAGGAATTTCTGCATATGTCAGGCGCATGCCGTAAGCATAGCATTTGAAGTCTACGTCCATCATCACCATCGAAGGTGACCTGATCATCTTCGACTGCTATGATGACAATGTCTTCGCTTAGCAGAGAAATCCTTAACGTTTTTAATAGTTAAAGTCTCCGTTGTCATCAGTGACACTATCTCCATTATTGAAATTTTGTTGTTATATGGAAAGAAAATTCACGGGATTACTCGCTTCACAAAATGTCCTTTCTCAGTATTCAAAGTGATTTTTTGTTATCGAATTTTGTCCAATTTTCTTTCTATCGGCTGATTGCTGTGTGTTTTTTTCATAGATATCGGGTTATTGTATGATTTGTAATGTTCTTTACTTAGCGAAAACTCTGTCCTATGGAAATCACACGGGTTTGCGCAGGATCTTCGTTCTTCCATAGGTTGTTTCGTGATCATAGAGCATTTATTCGAATAAGTGTCATAGATTGAAAGTGATCTAGTCGTTATGGTACCAGTGTAGCAGAACTGTAACAGCTCTGTGACACAGCCGCGGGACTCAACTGGAGTCGCCTTAGGGCGCGACTGAAGCTTCAGCCGTGGCCTAATCGAACCATATTGGTACAAGTAATGGTGGCGACATATACCACCAACAATCTGAACACGTTGTTCGTTGATTATCAGGGTAATACACTTGATTAACACATTTCACACACCTTGCGAGGAGGGTCGTTTCTGTATTGCGACGATTCGCCAGGGGCAGAGTCTTTGCTTTGGTATAGAAACTATCCAGTTATAAAAGTTTGGATAGGCACTTGCGGAGTATGCTGTTTTTGCGACAAGGCTAAAATCTCTCATGTATTGGAAGTATGAATCATTCTTTGATTTTTCAACTCCTTCTCCTCCAGAGTAAATTCTTTCTGCCTCCTCTGCCGCCTCCCTGTTGAAAATGTACTTGAAGACTCCTCCAGGAGTGGTGCTCAATGTACGGGCGACATGATTGATAGATCCTATCATTACACAATCTTTATACTGGGAACCGAGGGTACAAGCTCTCAGTCTCTCCAACTCATGTCTTGGGAATTTTCTCAAAAACATGTCCAACGCAGCAACGATGCAGCAAAAGGATTGAACTGAAATCCAATGTTGTAGACCTGTTACTCCAGAAACGTTGTCGACATAATACGGGTCAACCGAGAAAATTTGGAGCATTCTCCTTGTGAGTTCTGTCTTGCATCCAGATTGAGCTTGGGGTGCCAAGGACACACGACAGACCATCAAGCATTTAGCCAGAATTCCGAGCTCCGTCATAGTAGAATTCGAGCTGATTGCCTTGACACTGAGTGGCACCCTCTTTTCTGTAACTGTCACGAGGTGGAGAGGTGTGATTTCCTCTCCCTGTGCACCTATTCGAATTCCATAGGAAGTCCAATCATCCTCGAGCTTCGCCTTCATCTTGGACAGCATTGCCCAGATGGGGGAGGGAAGCCCTCATTGGTCCTCCCCGTCTTCGAAGAAGTTGAGGCCGCTGCTTTAAAAGATCTACAAAAATCTATATTGTCTGGTTCGATTCCATCCAGCACGCCCCTTCTCTCGCCTTGAACTTCATGCACTCAATGCTGTCCAAGATGAAGGCGAATCTCGAGGATGATTGGACTTCCTATGGAATTCGAATAGGTGCACAGGGAGAGGAAATCACACCTCTCCACCTCGCGACAGTTACAGAAAAGAGGGTGCCACTCAGTGTCAAGGCAATCAGCTGGAATTCTACTATGACGGAGCTCGGAATTCTGGCTAAATGCTTGATGGTCTGTCGTGTGTCCTTGGCACCCCAAGCTCAATCTGGATGCAAGACAGAACTCACAAGGAGAATGCTCCAAATTTTCTCGGTTGACCCGTATTATGTCGACAACGTTTCTGGAGTAACAGGTCTACAACATTGGATTTCAGTTCAATCCTTTTGCTGCATCGTTGCTGCGTTGGACAGGTTTTTGAGAAAATGCCCAAGACATGAGTTGGAGAGACTGAGAGCTTGTACCCTCGGTTCCCAGTATAAAGATTGTGTAATGATAGGATCTATCAATCATGTCGCCCGTACATTGAGCACCACTCCTGGAAGAGTCTTCAAGTACATTTTCAACAGGTAGGCGGCAGAGGAGGCAGAAAAAATTTACTCTGGAGGAGAAGGAGTTGAAAAATCAAAGAATAATTCATACTTCCGAAACTATCCAGTGCTCTTCAATGCTCCCATTGTTCATTTTCAACACCACTCGATATTATTAACTGTTTTTTTCCTTTTTTTTTTTCTTTCAAATTTAATTCTTCCGTTTGTCAATGGATATGTCTCTCTAAACTCGCCTTGTACATAGTATGGTATCGCCTGGCGTATTCTAATTAGTGTTTCTTTTCAAAAATTCATTAGTGACCTATATTAAGTGCGTCTGTAAGCAGAACTTCCAGTTACTGTATAACGCTGCATTGTTTACGAAAGGCTTATGACGTCATATACTCGTTTTTTTCGTAGTCGTTTATGCTTTGAAACTAATAAACATTATAGTTATGTTGTTATAAATCGCATGAAATTGATCGAAAGTGGTAGGAAAAATGATAAGGAGGATACAGCAAAACGTATAGTAACTGCATGTAGAACTAATTCCCAAGTGATTCTCCAGAAAATTCTAGGAGAAGATTCTTTTTGACAACGAAAAGGTAGCGTTCATGATAGTTCAAAAGCTCACAGAGAAATGCCATATTTCCAAGAATTCGCAAAAGTTGGCTGATTCCAGTTTCACATACCATTCGAACTCTACTCAACTCGCTTGCTAGAAAAGTGTAGAAAAAAAGAAGGGAGAAAAAAAAGGGAGAAAACGGTTCTGAAGAAGGCGAATAAGTAAGTCTAAACAATATCCATTGTAAAATGAACGTTATATCGACAATCTTCAACGTAGTTTCATAAAGAAATACTTTGCCAAATTACTAACACGTTTGGAATGATAAGATTTATCGGTCCCGGATTCCTTTACAGAGGGATCCTCTGCCGATTAGTCATGAGGCAAGGTGGTAGGTCCTCAGGCTGGAGAAAAGTGGTTAATAGCGGACCCAAAGCGACCTAGTGCTTCTATACGCACGTAGATCCAGGAGATGGACTCCTTGTTTCTGTTGCGCCGATTTAGCACATATCTTATGGACTTACGAAGGTGCATTGAAGCCTAAGTGCGTGAGTGCGTTCTCATTTATGAGGATTATATTCTATGAGTCAATTCGGCCAAAAGCTTGCAATTAACTGATAGGGAAAATACATGGGAGGCGGTTAGGAGTCGGCTTCAACAAGTAGGCTCACCGCCCACTCCGGGGAGTCTAACAAGGTATCCGTGAGCATATTCAACCCACACGTTCAGAGACCAGGAAGCCATTTGTGGGCATCAAATCCTAGACAGTAAAATAAGGAAGCCTCATTCCCTGACCTCGAAAGAGTATCGAATAGGCCGCATTGGGTAGGACGAGTACGAACAGACTACTGAAATCTCAGGGCCACTCAAGGCTGCTTAAATCGCAAAAAAACTAAGGTGGTGATCTGTACACAGAATGAATCTGAGTGCTCGATAGAGGAGTTGATAATGCAGGCAATCAGAGTAGGGTACGACGTCATTGGGATGGCTAAGGCGACAAGCCGCCCAATTTAGGCCGCCTATAGCATCGGTGAAGTAATGTTTCTCGGAATATGCGACAGGAGAGGGTTCGGTGTCGTCGGCGTTTTCCATAACACAAGTTTGGCCATGAACATTGATTTATTCAAATAACTAGCAACCTGGATCGAGAGTTCACGGTTAAAGGGATGTGGATCAATACCGTTTTGAGAATCTCCGTCGCCTACGCACCGACACCAAGCTATGACGAAGAGAAGTAGAGACGCTCCGTATGGAATTGAAGAACTCCTGCAGAGACGCCTGCACGTTCTGTAATGTCATAGAAAAACGAGGTTGAAGATTTTAACGCTAGCCACGGATTAGAATGGAAAGAGCAGGGTGAGCGGCTCTTTGAGTTTGTCATGACGAACAAGACCACTCATGGCAACTCGCAATTCCGGAGGTCCCACTTTCAACGCTGGACGTGAAAGTCTTCGAATGGAGAGTACGGAGTAGAGAAATGGACCACATCACCGTAAATCGAAGGTTTTGCCTAACTAATTTTACCGTTGTCCCAAAATTCTACACGAGATCAGCCCATCGTCTCCTTCGTGCATGATTCTATTTCTCGCGGAAAGGAGGAAAATCCGCTAAATTCAAAAACCGAAGTCCCAGAAACACCACAAACTGGGACTATTCAATTCATTATTCGGCTGTTGGGAAGATGCCGTTGTCGACAACATCGACGAAGAATACGATCGTCTCATTCAACATCTTCACGTTAGTACTATGAAAGCTGAGAGATCGAAAGTCACCAAGAAATGTAGGCCTTCAGAAACACTCGAGTTAATACACCAGTGTGGAATGACACGAGCTACAAGCAACCGCCAACTCACGTTCGAACTTGCAAAAAGGATCTTTAAGGGAGAGTAGCACCACTGATGGGCGAAGTTGCAGCGGCTGGATAAAGCATTCGCAAAGTTCATCAAAAATTTGCATTTATAACATCAAGATAATTGAACTCAAATGTCCAGACGGAACAGCTGTAGCTTCCAGGAAGACAATGGAGAAAATTACTGGCTACTACTGCTAGGTTCTTTTCAATAGCTATGTCTTCCTGCCTTCGCATGAAATAAAGAAGCACGGATGTCCTTCCACCGGTTCTCCCTTTCCAAATACCACATGCTATTTCGTCGGTGAAGAAGCGAGAAATACTAGGTCCTTACAGGATAAGATCGGAACACCTGAAGAACCTTCCGCCAGTCCTCGTAAACACACTGGCACGGCTCTTCACACGTTACCTCTCCGAATTCAAGGTCCCTATCCAATGTAAGACCAGCAAGACCATGTTATTGTTCAAGAAAGATGAGCTCCACGATATCGGTAACTATTGCCCCTTCTGCTCGTTGTCTGTCGTCTAAAAACATTTCACTCGTTTAATGCCAAACAGGATTTACAAAACACTGGACGAATGGCAGCCATGTGAGCAAGCAGGGTTCCGAAAAGGATTCAGTATGGTGGACCACTTCCACGAGATAAAAAGACTCATTGAAGTATCGCGAGAGTACAAAAGACCGCTCTGTCTCACTTTCGTCGACTTAAAAAAGGCCTTTGACTCAACTGAGATAGAAGCAGTCATGGAAGCCCTTCACATTCATGGAGTCCCTACTCAGTATACAAAAATTCTTCGTGAGTTGCACAAAAATCTCACAACCGAGATATCACCATTCTACAACGATATTAACATCGACGTCAGAAGAGGGGTTAGGAAATGTGATAGCATCTCGCCAAAATTATTTCCCATCATCTTCGAGAACGTCATGCGAACACTGGAATAGAACAACATAGGAGTGAGAGTGGGTGGTCAGCAATTACACCATTCCTTTCTTTGCTGATGACATTTTTCTTATATAGCCAAGAATTAGCCAGACGGAATGAATGCTAACCGACTTTGATAACGCCTGTGGAATGATTGGACTTCGACTAAATCCCCCAGAAACGATGCTTATAAAGAATTGTTCATTTTGCTCGCCCCATTCACGCTCAGCGGTATGAATGCCTCAAACGGTTCCAGCTTCTTCTATCTAGTTAGGGAAATGAGCACGATGAACGACTTAACCCCAGCTGATCGGAAGGAAGGGAGCAACTTGGGGTGGGAGAGCAAAGAACCCGCGGTTCACTTTTCGACTCCACAGCTGCTCGTGTCTTAAATTATGCTTCACTAGAACCAGGCTAAATGACGATGTTAGGAGTAACCCGTATTAAGTTAATGACGGAGAGGATCCGAAGATCCGACCAACAACGATCAAAAAACAATGATGCTGCTCTATACGCCACACTGTCGAATACACCGTCATAGTAGCCGATGCACAAAGGCCTGTTGGTGACTGGATTCCTCGGGATGTTAAACGCACTTCAGGAAGACCATTGAACTAAAGGTCAGAGTTCTTCACGAAAAGCCTACAAGAAAGAGATGATGCTTATCGAGTCCCTAGAGCGAGCAGAACCCACTGGGCTACTCTTTCACGCGACAGGGAGAAGTGGCAGATTTACTAGCGCGCACTGGACTCACTGGGCGAACAACGAGACTATATGTCATACTATGTCGATACGTTCAAGCGAACTTAATTCTCTTTTCAAAGGAGAAACGTTCCGGTACCGAAGTGAAACCTAAAACCTTTTTACTGGTGTCAAGGACGTCTTTCAAAAACTGAAAAGGACATCGTGGTGAAAATCGGTGACATGGACTACAGAACTTCCTCTGGATAGCAATGTTTTTGTAATATAAAATATTATCCAGAAGAAACGAATCATGACAGAGTTTAACCGTTCGTGTGGAGAGATCTGTCATACACTGAGCATGAACAACACAATGTCCGTAAAAACACTTAGGAGAAGAAAACGAATATTCGTTCACATCGGAAAAAAAGTCCATTTTTGTATATATTTAGGTTAGAAACTCAACACGAATTTAGATTTAGCTCTAAAACAAGAAATGGTTTACAGAGCTTACAAGTAGAAGAATCAATAAGGAACTAAAAGTGCTAAAAATTGGCTGGCTCTGTGCCTTCCTGTTCGATCCTAAGAAATCTGAACCATGTGTGAACAGAAGGGAAGTACAATTATTGTTTCAAAATCGGTATCAGGTGGTGGATGCTAGCAGGATTCCACATCAAAGAACTAGTCTCTAGGAAATGTGGCGAATAGAAACTACGCCATCACATCTTTCACGAACACGTTGAACGGAGAATATGAACTTTTTGCATCATTCGTGTTTCGTATAAGCGGAACCCGATGGAATCTTTTCGCATAGAAATGGTATTTACTACGAGAATGTGGGCATTCATCCTTTGATATTGAGAGCGATGACAGACTGGAAGTAACTGGGTTCTGGAAGGTCCATGGTGTTTATATTTAGGTGTATTTTACTAAATATAAGCCCACTAAGTATGTTAAACAAACCAACATACGACACTAGCAATAACAAATATTGTGGTAAGTAGATGGTCCTTCAGCGATGCATATTCGGAAGCGATTCATATGATTGTCGCAAAAATTTGAAGCCAATTGGTAAGTCCAGCTCCCTTCACGACTCCTAGGTCAGTATTTTCCTCGTTTCTTCACCAGGAAATCCATACCTTTGACTGCACTAAAATCACTACAACTGAAGTATTCATTTACCATTGCAGGGAAATATCCACATTTTTAACCAACTCACTTTTTCAGTGTTGCAAGAGCTCTTCACATATGAGGATAATTGTATGTAGCTTTAAATAGTGAACAGAAAGGTCTGATCTGGCGCAGACACTTTACGGAGCCGAAGCTTTTCTTCCCTTGACGTGTCTCATTCAGCAACAGAAAACGTGTATGAGAGAAAAAAAATCGGTTAATTCAAAACCTCGGGTACCACATGTCATTTTAAGGCGCTAACTAATTTAACAATTCTTCACGTTATAAAACTGAAGTCTCTATCTAAAGATCTTTTCGTTCATATCTGTATAGACACTTTTTATCGATTTATTCTGAACTTCATTTAGTTTCAAGTGCACCTATTTCTTCCCATTCCTATTAAAAGGCTTTCGCCGGTGTCACATTTGCAACATCTAATTGAAAAATTCCTTCAAAACGAATGAAAGTATGATGGAAATAAAGGAGGACTAACTGGAATCCTCGCATAATTACAAACCATTCAACTAGAATATCCTCTTTTTGAAGAAAAGAAAGGATAACTTTGTCCAAAAACCCTTTTTGTGCTCTACTGAGAAGATATTCGTATGCCTCTTATCGCACAAATATCAGTAGACATATTACTACAACAAAAATGTATAGGTATTAAAAGTTTTGTATACACAACAGTAAAAGAAACAGAACTATACAATTTCTAGAACTTGGGAAGCACTCGGATACAAAACAAGCCTTTTGCTCAACATTAATTCCTTCGCTGAAAACCCGTGCCAAGTCGATAATCATGAACAATAAAAAGAAAAGAAAAGGAAGAAAGAAAACAACGCATGAAAATTCGACCAGAGAAGGAGAGAGAGAGGTATAGCTGGCACAAAAGAACAGGTAAGATGTAGATACAACGAAATTACACTGTATTCTTTTTACTGACGGTGACAATGGCGAATGTCATCATCAACTTGCGTCATGTTTCTAACCCTGCATACGGTAGAATTGAACATAAGCTAGAAGAGGTGGTTGAATAGGATGGAATGACAAGTAGATTGAATGATTGACTAGCGAATCGAATACAATTCGTAGGTGATATTATGCTTACGTACAAATCTAAAACCCGAATCCATAAACTGAGTCACTGGAGAGGTTTTTGCCTATTTAGTGACCTGATTTATGAGATTTTCTTACTTAAGAAAACAAAGTCCTATAGGGCTACGAATGGCTATCGCTAACATATTTCAGCTCTAATGTATGATGGCCGAATGAACTTGTGAGAGCAATGGATGTTGTGCTTGTGGATGCGGTAATCCAATACTCTGCGATGTGAGTAGACCATGAGGAAGTCCCTAAAAACTTTTTATCCCTCCAACATTCTCAGAAAATGAATCTAATTTCCTAAACGTGGTTCGGATAAACGCTAACGTTAAAGAAGTCTCTACCTAGGATTCACAATAAATGTTGTCAGTAATGAGCTATGAAATTGAGATGAGAATATCCTTTCCGTTTTGTCACAATGCTAAAGCGGAATAAAAACTCATGGGCGAATCAAAAGGATATAAGTTGTACTGGTAAGGAAATAAAACGAGAAAGTGAAATTATCAAGCGTTTGCGGCCCCTAGAAAGGTTTAAGTATCCTGTAGCCAACGTCGGTTTCCGTCCTTCATTGGTCACATACATTAAGATCATACACTACGGTCTATGGGTCCATGAAGTCGAAGTGAAAACCAACATAATCACAATGCCATCGTCACAACTTTCTCTCCTATGAGCGCTTACCGCACTAATGATTCTGGTTATCACTACCGGTTAAGCCACTAAGGCCGGAATCCCCCTATGCTAAAGTGGTTACAGAACATGAGCAAACTCATGCGGAAGATTTACACCGTAAGAACTAGTATATATTGTTTGCGATGTTAGAAAAGAAAGACTACCACCACGAATCCAAAAATATTGTAGAAATCATGTACCTGCGGTAAAGTGAGAGCGGAAGCAGCGTGATTTGAAATTGTAGACAATGCCGGCGATACGCCCTCAAGTGACCTTGTTAAGCCACTGAGATTCAAATGACCATTCTGAGAATGCAAAATGAAAGAAAGTACAAGGAATTTAAGAGACATCAAACTGATTTGTTCATGGTTTCGTAGACAAAAATGGATACTTTGTAATTACCGAATTTGACTGTGTTGCAGCTAGTTGGGCGTCAACCTGTGCCTTAGCCTCTGCTTCAGCTCTAGCTTTCATCGCATGGGACTTCATGTGGGCATTGAGTGACTGGAATAAGAGATTAAATGTAAGAAAAAAGAAAAATGAAGAATTTTAGGGTTACTGAAGTAAATCAAACACAACATCCACGTAAATGCGTTAGCCTCCGCAATGGTTTGTAGCGTTACTTTGCCCGCAGATGTTCCTGGCTCTCAAAGTGCAACACAGATCTGTATGTCAATTCCTAGAGCGGGATGTCCAGAGCTGAGAACTAGTTTGAAAACTTCTTCTAAAAGCCCAGCTAATAGTAGACCAGTGACAGGAACGAGTGTCACATTGACAGCAGTCCTATTTGCAATCTGGCATGTCTTATTCCTATTAACAAGTGTGGGCGACTACCTATGGTGAGACAAATTACTGGTAAAGTAGAAAATTTGTTGGGACGGTTATAAAGACAAACTATTCAAATAATCATACACAAAGTAAAATTGATTGTTACTCCTATTATTTCATAACATTAATGCTATATCACTGACCTTAACCTTTTCAAAGCACTTATCACACAGACGACAATGGAAGAAACCGTCAGCACTCGGTTGTGCGCCTTTTTTAGTGCCCGATGTGGACGAGAACTGAGTACGAGGCGCCGACTGGAAGTATTCGTTTCAAAAGGTAACATCAACAAACTGAATATTTTTTCCAACAAATTGTTAGCTTCCCGCTGAAACCCCTATTTAAAGCTTAATACAACCATCAAAGTATTCTGCTCCTTCATTATTTTAAATTTTGCCCTAGTACGTCATGGGAGTTCATTCAAAAAGAAGAAATGAGGAGAATAGAGTTGAATATCTCTTGTTTTGAGATTTCAGTGGTTTGTATCAAGCCAAAAAGATACTATAAACAACTACTGGTTGGTAATTTCGTTGTAGCCCGGACAAATCTTTCAGTGGTGGAGATTGTCGAAGACCGAGTAAGGCGTGCGAAATTGACGATGACGATGACAATAAAGGAGGCACTTCTCGTAGAGGTGATACAGCGACAGCTGGTGGCGAAATACTGAAATGTGACATCGCTTCTGCTAAGATTTCGAGAAGTTTAGAAACATAATACACTACTTATTTAATCACTTTTTATTTACTGCCTACTCTTTTTTTATCGCGTCGTATGATGTGAAATGCAATCACAATTACCCTGAGATAACTGCAAAACTCTGGATCGCAGGTGTCTGTGGTGGGGAACGAGCACGCTATTACCCTTTCAGGGGACTAACTCGTCCATCACCACACCATGCAGGTCCTTCGTTTCGCCGTTTATTTAGTTTCTACTCGCTATTTCACATATAAAACGTCTTCTCAAGTAGGAAAAAATACAAGAGTAACTTCATATAACGTAGCAGGTATCAGAATGGTAGTGTTGCCTCTCGCTGCTTTGAGCCAAGGAGGTCCGCCCACCAAGTCTCTCATCTCTTCGGGGTCGTGAAATTGAAACCAGGGTTGACTGGGAAAAGCTCACTCCTTGCTGCCTGAGTGGAAACACACTAGCCCGGCTACCACAGGACTCCGGAGAGAATCGATTCGACTAGAAATCAACGACATCCATGACGAAGGGGAAATCCTCACGCAAAAGGCAAAGCCACATGCAAAATTTGGAAGACGTTCGTGGATGATGAACACGAGGAAATGAGTGGATGTAAAAAGTGCAAGGATTCACAAATTGTACGGTGAAAGAAAGAGAAAAGGTCGTGTAAAAAATAAAACTAATAGAAGGAAAGTACTTACAAACTGCCAGTTCGCAATCTGAGATCAGAGACATCCTGCCTGCAAAATGACGGTGCAGTAACATCGGACTCTGCGTCTGATGATATATTTTCGTCGACTATAGCCGTCTTCACAGTAGTACCTTCTTCCATCTAAGATGATGAGTTGAGAACGTTAAAAAAATCTACACAAGCAGATCAGCCACTTTCAACAAAATAGCGAGATTCTTAGTAGAAATATTTGTAGTGCTGAACTATAGACTCACGCTAATCGGCCTTCAGCTAAAGAAAGGGATGTCCTTTTACCTGTTGCAGATTCAACTCGAGTAACTGTCGTTTTCTTCTCAAATTTCGCAATTTTCGATAATCATCAGGGCATGCTTTCTTCCACGTATAGTAGAATTCTACACATTCACGTACAGTCTTGCTTGGTAACTGAAAACATGATCATTTTGAGATTACAACGATATCAGATAAAAAGCAAAGGATAAGTGCTCTCGACGTTGATCCCTTGAGGATGCTCCATGCATTCGACTTTAAGAATCGTTTGGAGGCGATTGAATGCATATTTGGCCTACACAATGACTATCGGTGTCTTACCGATGAATCGAGCCAATGCTGCTATCCTCCTACACAAGTCCGGTACTAATTTGCCGACCCCGGAGAGATGGAAGGATTGGTGGGCCAGGGGCACGGGAATTGATCCCATATGTGTTGCAGGGCGCCTCCGATCACTGCGCCATGTGCGCCCTCTACATAAATAATCAGTCATGATCAATAAATCAGCCACAATCACCACCAACGAAGTAATCATTTAACAGATAACCAGAATAATCATATTAATGTGAAGAGTATGCACCTCCTGTGCAACTTGATGAAAATCCTTCTCCGTTTTATAAATGGCATCCTGAAAGGCGTTCACTTCTTCTGGAGTCCAATTAACCGAGTCGAGATAGTGTGAACCATAGATAATCTACAATAAAAGCGATTAAACAAACATGTTAATTAAAAAATACAATTTCTACCAAGCCTACTACGCCTTCCTCCACTCTCACATTTCAGTTATTCTCATCTACGTATATCCACATGTGTACGTCACACATATGCCATTTTTCCTCTCCTTTCATGTATTTGAAGCCCATTGCAACTTCCTAACTGATAGCTGCTGTATCCACTGAGTAAGGCAAAATAAACTACCGAAACAATATGCATTGAAATCAATGCGCATTGTCGTGAATGTTTTCGGGTGGTGTTAATAAAGTCGAAAAAGAATCGGAGGTTTTTTTCTACTGTTCAGGCCACTAAAATCCGAAGTATGTGTACACCTCAGTGCTAGAAACTTGTAATTAACTGAGAGAGGACGCTGTAAAATTCTCCTTTCCTTTTATTTTACTGAAATGGAAAAAGTGGAAACTTCAACCACTGAAATCCCAAACATCAGAAAAATAGTAAAAATAGCTCTCCAAATATTTTCAATGTATTTAAAACACTGTAGAAATACGTTAAAGTAATAACCTGATATTGTTCCCAGTCAAGAGTATCAGAACGGAGTAAGTCTGCTACAGCTGCTTCGATGTTACCCTTATTCTCCATCAAGAGATGAAGCGCTAGTTCCTAGAATGTTCAAACACAAATTAATTGTAATCCATACAAATTCTTCACGAGAACCGAAAAGCTGCATCAGCTTCCTTGGTTCTTAAAACCTTTGAATATCAAATATATTATGGCAGCACGTACTACAGAAAATCTGCTTCACCCCTGAGAGACTGAAGAAAGACTGGCTTCCGTTTTTTAACTTTAACCTATCCAGAAATGGCTGAATTATCAATAAAAAAAACACTTCAGTTCTTTTTTACCTCTCCTCTCACCCCTCACACATAAAAGGGCTCTTGTGAGAAACAGGTTTCGAACAACCACAAGCGTGCACATAAGAATAGCGCCGAAGGAAGAATCTCCGAACTTGATTCGGAAAACAACCATTTTCAACGGCTACGAAACGGTAAGTCCTTGGGGCAGGTTTAGAGGAAGAACTATGCTCCCAAACAATATGTCTAGCCAGAACAAGGCCCCGTCTAATCTGCCCTTTATCTTCAACAAGGTAAGCGCTGCTATAAAGCGATTTTTAAAAAGCGCCGGTCCAGAGAAATCGGTAGCAGTGGGGACGAAGACGTTGGCGAAAAGAGTGGAACCTGATCAAGGCACATTTCTCGCCCATGTAAGACTGTTTTGTTGGTCACCAACAATAGCTGGAAGACTTACAAACAACAAAACGGTGTTTGAAAAAAGCTGTTTATTACGCGAATGAGAGCTATGTACTGAGTTCTTTTTGCTGAGGTTATTAAAGTGTTTGAATGAGAAGGATGCATTTCAATTTGACCTTTCCAATATCTGAAGAAAGTGAAACCACCGAAATGTCAGCCAGTATTTGAACAAATCATTCCACTACGTGCATATAATATCCAATGTATATCCTATTATCGAATGGTTCCTTCCAATGGATTTCCGCTTCATTGTGGGTTCCGAGTGTTTTGGATGTCAAACAACGACGTATAGTGAAGATTTAACCCCAAGCAAACGGCGCCATACACAAATGGAGCGCGATTATATCAGCTAGATATTTAGCTAATATACGAATCCCAGGAAACGCCGCTGTTCCTACAGAAACTTAATCGTAAGATCTTCGCTTGAACCACAAAGGACAGCCTGTTGTGATAGACAACGGAAACTTTTAGCACGACTAGTTCACAACTCCAGGTGGAGAAACTCTAATCCGTGTTGTCTATACTTAGTAAATTACAAAACGAATGGAAGTTGTGTTTGGTCCCTCACTATTCCCCGTGATCATGGGATAAAAGGATAATGGACCAACAACATCTCGTATAATACTGGTACTTGGCGGTCTTAGCACACAAACATAATTAAGGTTCTTTTTTTTTTTAAAAAGACAAGCAGTAGGCGCTTTCAAAATGAGGTAGTCGAAAACATTTCGCACTGTCCATATTAGGAAGAAAGTGCCTTGAATGACTGGTGCTGAGACATTGTTGTTTTTCAACTTTGAAATTATCCAACTGACCTTATTCCGTCCCGGTCTCGGAATAGCTTGACTACATGCGAGTAGTTCAAACGCTTCAACTAAACGTTAGAGAATAGTCTTGCTGTAAGTAACATTGGAGGAATTTAACAAATCAACTTACTCTGATCATTTTCGATATCAGACAAGACGTCTGGTGAGAAGATGATCTCATCTCGATCTTCAATAGCTTCGAGTTCCGAGTTGTGAATCTGAAGACCTTCTTTGAAGTTTTCAAAAAGAAAAAAAACGTAAACGGAGGTATAGACCTCCTTGCTAGATATTCCCATGTTTTCAACTTTTTTATAAGATGTCTTAGCCTTTTAGACTTACTATTAGTTCTTGAGAGGGTTATAGCACCGAGATACTAAACCAATGGTGATTATAAAACAATACGAGCTTACAAGTAATGGCCATTTATTGATCTAACTGAAAATTTAGTATAACTTTTTTGAGCTGTACAGCTAGCAAAAACTTATCGTATAGATTTAATTGATTGCACTTCACAGCTCTGAAAGTTTTACTTTCCAAACATCTAGCGATTTTTCTTGGAAAAAAAAGCAAAGCAAATATCATCATTGAAATATTTCACGACCTAAAAACATGAATATTTAACAAATAGTATTACTGAAGAGTAAAAGGATAAAAAGGATAAAGCTCTCGGCGTTGATCAATCCCAAAGGGATGAGCTATGCATTCGACTTCATCAAGCATCGTTAGAGGTGATTGAATGCATATTTGGCCTTTACAATAACTCGCTATGGCCTACCGATGTATCGACCCGACCCCATCATAGTCCTCCCAGACAAGTCTGGTACCAATTTGCCGACCCCGGAGAGACGGAAGGCTTCGTGGGCCAGGAGCACGGGAATGGATCCCATAAGTATTGCAGAGCGCCTCCGATCACTGCGCCATACGCGTCTTTATTCAAGAGTAACGAATAATAAACAAAAGAGAAAAACAAATAGTAACAATGATGACAAATAGTCGCAATGAATATTTAAATAAATATTCATTAAATAAATATTCGGATATTTACGTTTCAAAACCGACTTTTCTTTAATATCGGCATGACTAGCCAAATATGTATTCTTTCCCTTGATCAGATAGCTTATCCGTTAGCTTATCAATGGAAAAAAACAAGCATTTACATTTTTTTTGTCGAGAAAATCCCTGTCTCACTATAAAAAATCTTAAATTAAACTAGAATTAATTAATTAAAATTAGAAAAACTGGTTTCTTTAGAATAAGTACCGGTTTCTCCCTGTGTTTTGAAGAAAAACAACTATAGAGGGATTGGTTCGACGGAATCGGGGAATGATTGTTTACGAACATAAGTGTAGTGGTTACTCGTCTTACTCGCTCTCATAATCACCAAACTCTCACTGCTTCAATGACACTAAGTGTTTGCGAAAAAAAAAAAACGAAGGAAGCAAATCCGATAAAGAAGGAGGAGGAGGAAGAAAAGAGAGAGAGGAAAAAATTCCAAAAAAAAAACGCCAGAAAATGATCACTGGGAAGCAATCTAGCACGGAACTACTTCAGTTACAGTGTTACGAAGAGTTCCTCGGTATAATCTCTTTGTATTATTACAATAACTAAAAGGAAAAAATTGAATAATAGATGAAAAAGAAGTCTTCAGCCGTGCATAAATTTCGCTACAGTAAATTTCGTTAGAACCTCTACACAAGAAAAAGCCCACTTACACCAGCACTGCCAGAAATATGGAACTATACTTATTTCCTTTTGCAAAAACAATATTATAACGTCAGTCTATGTGATAAGACGAAGATTTATCTTTGATATAAAAGTAGATGACAGACAATTACCGAACTTTTTACTTGAAAGAACAGAAAAAGGAAATAAAGAAAGAAAGATAAAAAGGATAAAAGATAAAGCTCTCGGCGTTGATCAACTCCTGAGGGATGCGTCATGCATTCGACTCCATTCATAGCACCGTTGAAGGTGATCGAATGCATAACTGGCCTTTACAATGGTTTGCGACGGCCTACCGATGTATCGAGTCAGTGGTGCTATCTTCTCAGAAAAGTCTGCTACCAATTTGCCGATCCCGGTGGTATGGAAAGTTTGGTGAGTCTTGCCGCAAGGATCGATTCCATGTGTGTTGCAAAGCGTCTCCGACCATTGCGCAACACGCGAAAGAAGGAAGAAATAAAAAAATGAGGCATACGATGACACATAATATTCGAAGGTATATTCGAACATAGAACAGTTCAAGGACTTTCAAATCAGCGTATGAAAAAATACATGCTTAAGAAGAATAATATGAAAGCAGATGAATGGAAATTGAGGAATGGAAACAAAACGAACAAATGATTCAGTCTTCTTTTTCTTGTTCAGCAATCGTGAGGTTGTTAAACAGCATACATTTACTTCCATAGAAAAACGCAATACAATACAACAGTAGCTGACATTTCGGCAGCTTCGCCTTCTTCAGAGCCTGGAAGGGTATACTGATATACAATCTACTAGGCCAAACGTTTCAACAACACTTACAAAATGACGAAAAACTCTATGGTAATTACATCATCAACAGCTTCTCGAAACGCTCACCGCTTTTTACGTGACTTCCAATGAGGAAGTTTAGAACAGCTGATTATAGTCGCATATCGTTGACGACTGCACCACCCCGCACTAGAAATTGATGCGAAGGTACGGGCCAAGTCGCGTGTGGCCTCCGGGAATTCCTCCCTGCTATTCATTGCAGGGTTTTGGTATTTATCCAAAAAACCTCAAGGAGTTTGCGTGTCGGTGTTTTGGCATCCTGCACGAGGATATTGACTTTTACTTCAAAATAGTCTCCGCTATGTTTTTGTATCCTATGCGTGCCTAGTGGCGTACTTCCTCTCAGTTTTCGTTTGTCACCTAGGTGTTGTTTTATACGGATCCACAAAGGTGTGCCGGTTTCGCCAATATATTATAGGATACAAAAGCATAGCGGAGACGATTTTGAAGTGAAAGTCAATATCCTCGCACAGGATGCCAAAACACCAACACGCAAACTTCTTGAGACTTTTTGGATAAATGCCAAAACCCTACAATGAATAGCAGGGAGGAATTCCCGGAGACCACACGCGACTTGGCCCGTACCTTCGCATCAGTTTCTAGTGCGGGGTGGTGCAGTCGTCAACGATATGCGACTATAATCAGCTGTTCTAAACTTCCTCATTGGAAGTCACGTAAAAAGCGGTGAGCGTTTCGAGAAGCTGTTGATGATGTAATTACCATAGAGTTTTTCGTCTTTTTGTAAGTGTTGTTGAAACGTTTGGCCTAGTAGATTGTATATCAGTATACCCTTCCAGGCTCTGAAGAAGGCGAAGCTGCCGAAATGTCAGCTACTGTTGTATTGTATTGCGTTTTTCTATGGAAGTAAATGTATGCTGTTTAAAAACCTCGTGAGTGCTGAACAAGAAAACGACGCATTCATATTCCAATGGAGAGGCTAATAGAAAGTCGATCCTGGGAACTGATTTGATCTTCATTACTAAAATTCTAAGCAACTTTTAAATTTATACCAGTACACCAAAAATTAAAGCAAAACTTGCATAATGAAAAAATGTAATGTTTCGTATGAAATCATCTTCCCCCCACCTTCCTGTCATTCCATTTTCGTACTCGAGCTTGATATTCACGTCCAATATTGATATGCCTAGAAAAATATTTTGAAATGTTGATATGTGAGATAAATCCTTCTTTAGTTCGACTGAAAATAGTCCATAAGGCAAGTTACGGTCGTGAATGAAAATATGCTATGAGGTAGGGAATATCAAAACCAATAAAAGACGAATTATTCAGTACTGATCATTCCCTCAGAGATCCATCACGCATTCGACTCCATTCGTACCACCCCACTCTAGAGGTGATTGAATGCAAATTTGGCCTATACGATAACTTATAGGGAATTCTCGATGCATCAAATAGATGTCAGGACCCACACGGTGAGGTGGCGAACGCGTTAGTCCCCCGAAAGGGTAATAGCATGTTCATTCTCCACCGCAGATACCTGCGGTCCGGAGTTCTGCAAATATCTCAGCATTATTGTGGTTATCAAAAAAGTGTTTCTATCGTCCTAGACAAGTATGTTAGGAGTTTGCCGACTCCAAAGGGATGGAAGCTTGTGGCATGAGATCCTACTAGCGAAAGATCCAGCGGACAGATTATATTGCGGGAAACCCCTACCTCAAACCAATAGCACTACACGCTTGCGATATGTTTAGATAACTAGAGCTTATTCCCGTAGTAGACAAGATTTTCAGTATGCCTTATTAAAACATCCACAGTAACTCACGGTATAGCATCGCTCATTTTTGGCCATGTGTCGCTCGATAGATCATAATAGCAATCGGATATACAGGATGCTTTACGTAAATACTCATCCGGATCCATTGAATGTTTACGGAGAATGTCTTCAGCAGATCTTCAACAATTCGAAAATTCTTACAGAGTTCACTCTGTATAGAGCTTTCTTTTCATAAAGAACAAGCTCACTTTGTTGACGATGATGTTGATGCCCATGAGATCTTACGCAATGCCTCTAATTCATCGGCAAACGTGGACTAAAACAAAGAACTATTATGCATGAATCTAACTGAAGAAAACCTATACGTTGTCCTATATCATCCTACAGCCATCAGGAGAACTCGGTATGACTCGGCTACACAGGCAAACAGATCTTCCTCATTATTACTCTTTGTTTGTAAAAGAAATGATCACGTAAAATGAACACTTAGGTCAGTAGATGCTCTTCAAGAAAACAATCTACCGAGGTTGTTCTACAGCATACGTTTACTTCCGTACACAAAAAACATACAACACAACAGTAGCTGAGATTTCGGCAGTACTGCCTTCTTCAGAGCCCGGAAGGGTATATTGATATGGCATTTACTGGGCCGAACGCTTCAAGAGCATAGAGAAAAGGATAAAAATTTACGCAGTCACATAATCAACAGTTTCTCGAAAAACACGGTTTTTATGTGCCTTCCGCTGACGAAGCACAGCCGATCACAGCCGCATATAGTTGATGACTGCACCACCCCACATCAGAAATCGATGCGAAGGTAAGAGGCCAGGTCGCGTGTGACCTCTGGGCATTCCTCCCTGCTATCCATTGTAGGATACTTGACATTTATCCAATAAACCTCAAAAAGTTGTTTGTTTTTTCAAGAAGCTGTTCATCAGGTGACCACCAAATCGATTTTCATCCTACGAAGATGAACATATTGGCGAAACCAGCAGACCATAATGCATCCGAATAAAAGAACAACTAGATAGCAAACGAACAGCAAAATAAAGTACCCCACTAGGCACACATAGGATACAAAAGCATAGCGGAGATAATTTTGATATAAAAGTCACTGTCTTCCTACCGCATGCCCAAACACCAACGCACAAAGTCCTTAAGGTTTTTGGACAAATGCCAAGAACCCTGCAATTAATAAAGGGGAGGAATGCCTAGAAGTCACACGCGATCTGGCCCCATACCTTCGCATCGATTTCTGACATGAGGTGGTACAGTCATCAAACCATAAGCGACTCTGATCAACTGTTCTGTTCTTCCTTAGTGGAACACACGTAAAAAAAACGGTGGATTTTTCGAGCTGTTGATCATGTGATTGCCATGTAGATTTTCTTATTCCTGTATGTTTTATTGAAGCATTTGGCCCAGTAAATTGCAAATAAGTAACCCTTCCAGGCTCTGAAGAAGACGATACTGCCGCAACGTCAGCTATCGGTGTGTTGTATGCGTTCTATGTGTGCAAAAGTGAACGTATGCTGTTGAACAACATCGCGATTGCTGAGAAAGAAAACTACTCATTTATAAGCCAATGCCGAGGTTAATAGAAAGTCGATCCTAGGAGCTAGAACCCTCTACTGCGTTCAAATCATTAATTTGCAGAAGTTCAGTATGTTCAGATATAACGAGGCTTCTAAAAAGATCTTCCACAATATAGTTAGATTAAACTAGTACTTTTATTAATAGCATCTTTCTCCCTCTCTATGAATGCACCTGACTGCATATGAATCCATTTTTTCGTGCCGGATGAACGGATCCAGAAGCCGACGATGTGACGACGGTTTCACTGCAGCTCATCTCACTAGGTCCCGCTCTTTCGTCTACGATACGCAATCCAGGCGAACCGCCGTCCATTTCGCGTTCTTCTGCAATAACGACCCACTTACTAATCTATTCATTTATAGACTGATTGGTTGATGAGTGATTTCTGGAAGAAAGTTATGAATAATAATGTCTCTTTGACGGGTCACTTCTCGAACAAACATCAGAAAACCCATTATTATCAGTTTGTCGTTTTTTGCAAACTTCGGATGACACTTCCCATGAGTTGACACTTCCCAGGAGTTGGATGGTAAGAGAAATTCATTGATGAGGAGGAAATCAAGCTGAATACGATAAGTGAAAATAAAAACATCATCAATATGGAATTATGGCAAGAATTTAATTGAAGAAAAAGTTAATAGTTCAACTTGGTATTAAATTAGCACGGAAGTAATGAGAGCACGAAGGCGTATAATACAGGACAATGGGATATTTTAATTTAATGCTAGAAGACATGATCAACACTAATCTGTACCCTTGTTAAGAAAAGAAAAAGAAAATGACTAAAAATCATGATTTAATCTAGTCGAACTGGTACTGATGATAGGGCCTTCGCGGTATACTGTGTCAGTCCCCGGAAAGGGTAATCGTGGTTCGATCTGGCCTGGAGTCCAAGTTTTGCGAATAATTTTAGCACCGTTGTGGTTGAATTGATATACTTTGGAAGAGTTAAGAAGCTACAAAAAAAGTTCCTGAGACTTCCACTGTGCTAACCAGTGACGTTATCGAATAGCGAACAATCCAATTGTTGACAACTAATGGAGAAGTAAAACGAAGAAGAAAAACTATAGTGCTCAAAACATAACAGATATATCTTGGATCTGTGGTAAATTTACATTAATTTACTGATAGTTGAGGTTCGTGCAAAGGACAGCTGCAGCATACCGAAGGCAATTTGTTTCTTCTCTTAATAATTTATAAACTATACACTTGTAAAACTGAGAAATAATGTTACTTCGCTAATACTCTGTCTAGTTAACTTGTTATTTTCTGCCAACTAGAATCTTCAACGGTGCGGTATGAAGTGAAATACAACCACTATAATGCTGAGATATCTGCAAAACCTGGACTCCAGGTCATATTCGAACCCGTGATTACCCTCTCTGGGGGAGGCCCTTGCTCTGACTTTCTCTCAACCAGTTTTCTGCCGCTTCGCCATTTGCGAATATGGCCTGGGCTTCAAGTTTTGCAAATAGCGCAGCATCATAGTGGTTGCTTCACATCAAACTCTGTCTAGTTTTCTTTTTTCTTCACTCCTCCAAGTTATGTTTCTACCTCTCTCGTTGGTAAAAACTTATTTACTTGGACACTTGGACGACTCGTGTTCACTGGTTGTGCGGTCCTCAGAATAATCCCCATCTTTTCGGAGTTTTGCCGGTTTAGTCAATCTGATTCCTTGGAGTCCCGAGGCCAGTCTAACCAATGTCTGCCACAGGTCTTCACCATCACTGGCCGTCGCCGCCCTTGTAGATCAGAAGGAGATTTGCCATTATGCGACTTTGATATCAGGACAGCGATGGATCCTAGCATAAGTTTCCTCTTAACGGGGCTTCTTGATGGAAGCCCCGGCCTCCTTCTCAGATTAGGAGGCCATGCTGAAGGATGAATCCCTCCGATATACATCGCAGCCTGGCACCCAGAAACACCTCACAGCAACGATGAGGCGGTGGTAGGCTTTGGTAAAAACGGAACATAAAATTTGATTCAGTAACTATTATAACTGAAACTGACCCATATTTTAGAAATCCAAATCATTAGAGAGCAGCTTCGGTCCAATAATTTGGTGTTCTTTTATATTTTTTTTTTGCGTTTATAACTGCATGACAAGTGACATACCTGGTGCGTGACCGTTTTGTGCATTCCTAACACAAATAGACGGAGCAGCCTGCAATAGTACTTTATTGAAACGATTTTTTTGAATGAAAGTGCAGCGATGATAGTTTTTTAAAACTCACTTGAGCTGGATGTCCAAGATTTTTCGCGATTTGCCAGAAAAGTCCAGAACCGTTTCGCATTGGACTCAGAATTGGAGGCGGTGTATAGGGATGAATGCCACGAGGCTGAACACCGACGTGTTCGACGAAACGTGGTGAACGAAGTCGACTACAAAAAGTGGTTAGTAAATGGATAGAAGGTTCATAAAACTATTCGTTCTCTATACGCTAAGAAATTAATGCATTAGTAAAAAAGAATCGAACGATATATACTTTCTCCGATCTCGAATTGATTTTAGTTAAATTACTGCTCTTGTATGATATTTGCAAACCTGGACGCCAAGCCAGATCGAACCACGATCACCCGTTCCAGGGCTCATGTGTTATCCACAGCATCACTGAGGACCTCGTTCTGCCTTTCTCTCGGCCAATCTTTTCACCCTAACGATGCCATCAGCGCGATCATTTTGATTTTTTTTTCGACTACAGTCTCAGTTTAACTGGGTCGATTTGTGCTTCCCAGATCAATTCCGTTGACGGATTACTGCTGATGGCACCGCTAGGGTAAAAAGGTCGGCTGAGAGAAAGGCAGAACGAGGTGTTCAGTGATGCCGTGGGTAACACGTGAGCTCCAAGGAAGGTTTATCGCGGTTCGGTGTGGACTGGGATCCAAATTTTGCAAATATCACAGCATCATTGCGGTTGTATTTCGCACAATAGCCTGCCGTGAAAAAAAAATAATGGGAAGTAGATAAAAACTATATAGTATATTACTAATTAAAACACTTCTAAGCATCTCCCAAGAAAAAAAAAGCTCCAAACTATTTTTTGTGTATTGGTATAAAATTTACGCATTTTTAGAGAAAAGTAGACGTCTAGCGAAATAAGGAACACCCTTTTTAATCTAGTAAGTTTCCTTTTCTCAGCAGCTTTTTTTCTGTTTATGACAAGAAAACTTCTAAGAGCAATTCTTGTGTGCAAATTCAACCGACGGCTGATTGGAGATCAGTCGCTGCATGAAATTTCTGATAGATGGCCAGAAATTTTGTTTCTTACAAACAAATACAAAGCGAAATAAAAATAGACATGAAGCACATCATTCCCACGAATTTCTTTCTAGTTACAAAGAAACTATAGTCCAAAAAATGCTATTCCCCTAGGCCTCTATTTGTAGAGTAAAACAGAAGAATAAGACTAATGACTTATAACCATAACAGAGTTCGTAGCAAAATTTAAATCTGGTTGTGCAATGCGCAGTGGTGGTGATGATGTCCACCATAAACATGGTGGTGGTTCGACCATGCACCGGGATCATGAAGACCCTCATCTGTCCGATGTCGTGCAATTGGTAGCAGATTTGTCTGAGCTTAGGTCAGTCCCTGCAAACTAAGTGGGAATGCTCCAGACCAGCTATCCCAGAACTCCAGGGAGAATCGACTTAACCAGCATGTAAGGACATTCATAGGGAAGCGAAAAACCTCAAACAAGAGCCGAACACAGACGCGACAAGTTCGAAGACTTTCGTTGATGATGGATGCGAGCAAACGAATCGAATCGTAGAGGTGCTGGATTCTGCATAGTAGATGTGAAAGATGGGTTGTGTAGTAAAAAAAATTGTACTATAGGAAATGAAACATGGATAGCACAGAATAGCACGGAATTATTTCTTCTTCCCTTTTTTTGGATAGAATTATGACATGCAGTTACTGTCAATTATCAATTATTATCAACGAGTATCTCATGAGAGTATAATCGATTTCGCGATCGATACTAGAGAGATAAGCGCGTGAAGTGATCGATAATCGACTGGGACTTCTGTTTAGGCACACAATCCAGTTAATGGTTTCGCATATCATTCCACATAATAATCATGGATAAAAACTCTCTTTTTTAAGCAGTAACGAGCCAACTCGTTATTTTCAAAATAGCAACAAACTGTCATCGGATGTGATGTGTAGCAAGAAATTCATCCTTCAGACGTTCCACCCCAATTGAGAAGTGCGATTTTTATATGCAGAGATCTGGTTAAGTGCAAGACTGAGCCAACTCAAAGGCCAGTGGACTAGTTAGTTACAGTTAGAATAGTTACTGTTCGGGAAGAAAAGTCAGGATAGAGGGAGTAACATGAAAATCGTAACTGTCGCTGTGTCTTCAAAAGTCGCAAGCTCATTTTCGTTAGAGTTCTGACGCGTTAAATGAACGAATAAGACATTATTGTGACTACTAAGTTTGCAAGCAATACATATTGATTCGTCTTAAAGGAAGCTATAGCTTGGCACTTAAAGTTGAAATTATAGTTTAGCACTAGAAGTGTGGTGAAAGCCGTTTCTTCTCTTCCGAAGCAATATGTTATTATCGTAAGAATAATAAGCATTTGCAATGTGTCGTCGCATCCATTTTTTCCCGATATCCTTAGGGATGAAGTGTTCATCAAAAGCAAAACTGACAGAGTAAGCGACACCCACTTTTTTCTCTCATAGTCCCTTCAAGCACTTTTTGTACATCTGGTGAATGTCGAATCATAAAAACGCTGTCTCCTTCAACAACATCGACTGGCTGCCAATATAGTGGGAAATGGAAGCAATAATAACAATATTTCAAATGCGGTTAAAATGTATCCAAGTCCAGCTTGCTGTATTGCCTTCGATCGGTCTACAGTAGTTGCTGAAAGAATAGGAATCGTAGCCGTCCCAGAGGAATTCTTGTCTCAAGAAAGTGGTGTCCACTCCACTCTTTACCTCACCACACAGGGAAAAATCTAAGAAAATGTGTGAAACCTTTCGCCTGGATATTTACGAATTTGACAAAAACCGAGTGAAATCAGCGTTCAATATGTCAACGTGAAGAGCAGAAATGAATCGTCAAGCCGCAGCTGAATTCACACGCGAACCCGAACATCTCTATGGATAAGGGTGACAAATCCTACACAGATTATGGAAAAAGGCTGTTACTCAAGAACGAAAGCCCTTCACTTCCTTCTATCTCTGCATTTATCTTGTTATCCTTCAAGTACGAACTGCTGCATAAATTTTCTTCTCTGATAGGAATCTAATTCGTCCTTTGTGATTCAATCTATGAAAACACAACGATCAGCATGAAAAGGCAGGAGTTTTGCAGCAAATCGATAGCGCGATAACGAACTAGCTAAAAATTGCTGTCAAGATCCTTATCAGTGCAAGTTGATAGGGCTTTTTGTGATCATCTACCATCTAAAATGTTTGAACAGGAATTCTGATCATCAACTTTAACAACCAAACATATAATTTGCTGCTTCCACGATGAATAAATTATTGATTAATCCCGATGTGAATTGGAAGTCGATCCTGGGAGTTACCAAACCTATACTCGACTACAACGACGACGTTAATTTCACTAACATGATGTTTATAGGACCAATATGCTTCATGTGGAGATTTCCTTTCCTAGAGACTGTAGCAACGTGAGAGAATTATGACGAAAATTATTCTCGCTAGGACAGAGAAATGGTAAACAGCTCCATAAATTCCCCGTCAACATGGCAACCATCACAGCCGTCGTATCTCATATCGCTCCAGGCTCCGTCGGCGACCATGCTGAACGTCGTCTACCGTATTCCCTTGTTGATTGTACTTGCACTTGTTGTTGTTCAACTCTATTCGCTTCACTCTGTTGCTAAAAACTCTGTGCAGTGGTTGGTTTGCATTTGCATATTCCGAATTCCCATGTGTCTCTGTGGGTGTGTGTACCTGCTAATAAAAAATTGTTGCTAACAGACAGACAATGTTTATCTGACTGACGTCGAGGTAATAATCAAATTCCGCTCCGAATAACGCAACCAGAAACGATGACATGATTACGATTAGCAGGTAATGAATAGAACTGCACGGAGCACAGTGGTTAAAGGTGCCATGCAATATGCACATAGTCCTTCATCCGATCACACCATCCGTTTTAGGTTAAACGAGCCTTTAATCCTCTGGAGTTGACTAAATAATGACAGAAATGTCTGGTAGGGTAAAAGAAAACTAGCTTAATACATCGGTAGAGAAGCACAAGTCACTGTATAGGCCAGATATGCACTCAACCACTCCTACGATGATACGAATTGAGTTGAATGCAAAGCACATTCCTAATGGATTTATCAACGAAAATGCTTCATTTTTTTTAGATAATGAATGCAAAGGAAAAGCTAAAGTCTTTCATGGAGACCGAAACTACTCTGATGTTTGCAAAATGCATCTCTTCACGTTAGGCCACTGACTGTTTTTTATAATGGAAAATATTTTTTAAAAAAATTGGTGTACAATTGAACATCATTAACGACCATGGTATGTTGCCACGTGTATCTAGCACTTTAAAACGAAATAAAACGAATAATGGTCACTTTTTACTTCCTGCCCCCTACAATTTTCACGGCGGGGTATTATGCGAAATACAACCACAACGATGCTGAGGCATTTGCAAACTCTGGAGCGCAGCTGTCTGCGGCGAAGAGCGAACGCACATTTCCCTCTACCGGGGGCTAACTCGTTCACCATCACACCATGCTGGTCCTTCGTTTCGCCTGTCTTTCAACTAGTTCTATCGATCAGTGCCATCAGCAATCACCCGTCAACGGGATTGATCTGGAGAGCCCACATCGGCATTGAACTCAGTTAAGCTGAGGTTGCAGTTGAAATCACAATGGTTACTTTTTGTTTGCTGCCTACTAAAATTTTCACGGCAGGGTATAATGCGAAATACAACCACATGACTAAGTTAAGTACTGCCGTTGTATATACACATATCATTGTTGGTAATGATGTTCAATTGTACTAACCACTAACTAGAATTATGCGAAATACAACCATAAAACGAATACTTAACGATTCGCAGAGGAAAAAATCGGCGGATTTTTGAAATATCAGAGATGAAGCAAGTGTACGGCACCTTGCAAAAGTATTGATCGGTTGCCTACGTTATCAGGATTGTTATGATACGCTATCAGTCTCAAAGACCAAAGCAGAAATGGCAGCTAGCAGGAACAGCCATTTTCAGTGGGTACAACGAATAGTGAGGGAAAAGAGAAAATCAACGATTACGAGAAATCACAGCTGTCATTCTCGCAATTGTGTTGTTTTCATTTCGAATCGTTGCAAGCTTCGCTTTGCAGTAAAGCACTTATGACAGTTAAACACTAAAGTACAAGAGCAGCACAATTTAGATTCAGTAGTAAAAAAAAAAGAACAACGAAATTAAGAAACAGAGAAGATGTTCGATGTTTTTCGATATTTTATCGCTGCGTTGTAGGTCACTTATTTCAATATATAAATGATCAGTG